TGGTGAGTGAGTAGAGAACTGAAGACCCTTTTTACTGAAAATCATGTATGCATCTGCATTTTGATTCTTAATTGAGTATGAATATCTATGGACCATATTCTATAAAAAAAAAAGCATTTGATAATTTTCTGGCGTTTGGACATGTTTGCTTGGACTGCCATGTTTTATTTGCGTTCACTGATGTACATACTTGTCCATGATATTTATGTATGAATAATGTATTTAAATAGTTTATCCGTAGGTAACTTTATTTCCAAGCACTGATTTTGTAATTGTAAGTACGCCTATTCATTTTTTTTAAATCATAGTTTTATTCACGGTGGTACAGTCTAATGATCTATATCTAAGGATCATAATATTGTATTGCAGATTATGTAAACTACAGAGTAATAAGTCAATAGAGGCTGACTGTTACAGTAATTTGTTGTGTTATTGTAAGAAAATACAATAGGTTATTTCGTAAAACTGTCTTATTGATAAATGGATCTACTGCATTTGAAGAATTTTATTCATTAGTATGTATTAATTATAAGCTATTATAATATGACATATTTATCAATTTATTGCTTATTAGTTTGTACATATACAAGAAAACAGGTACATATTATGATAAGTACAGTTTTTTCAATATTTTAAAGGGTTACAGGGTTAAATAATTTTACTATGTTAATATTATTTTCGTATGTATATTTTTAACATTTAATATTGTTGTATTTGATTAGCAAATTAAATAAATTTACAATAAAATGTAAGTGTAAGTTTTGTATTTTAGAAGATGATTACGTAAAAATTAATAGCCTTTTAGAATTTAAATTACTTACAGCAACATGCAATAATTGCAGTATATATCTCATAAAGTGAGTTTTTATTAGTAGCACAAAATCACTATACATATAAAAAAAATAAGTCAACTTTCCACATAAAGCCTATTGGCACTGGCACTATCAAAGTGCAAAATTCATTATTTTTGACTAGATTGTAACCTAGCGTTGCGAGACTTGCTACGCTGTTTTACTTACAAAATAATTAAATCACATATAAATTAACATCAAATAGTTAAGGGCCCAAAACGTTTTACATGGCAACACTGTACACAACTTAAAACTAAAAAATACATAATACATGAAGGGATCACTATTTTTACAAAAATATATAGGTGCCATGTCATATTGCACGTAAGTGCTACATATCCAGATTACATAAACATAACTAAGTATAATGTATGATACGTAAAAGAAACAACGAAAAAAAAACTATAATAAGTATAAACTTGTTAAATAAAATATTTAAATGAGCTTTGTTTATAGACTTTATATTCCGCTTTTTCAAACGTGTTCCTATTTTGCAAAAAAATCAGTTTAAAATATCAGTTATTTTCACATTTAGAAACGCGATCCAATAGTTAGAAACGAGATATTCCCTCAATACCAAGTAATAACATAATAAAAAGACCAGAATCGCGAAGATTCAATCGCATCAAGATTCATCGGGAAGTTTTCAAGGTTCACGGAGACTATAAAAGATGATCGTTTTATATGTAAAATGTTCATGAAAAATTGCAAATTTCTGGGATTATTTTAAAAGCGGCATTATTAGTTTTTTCTAACGTTTACCACACTTTTGACATCGAAGGTACTACATGACGTTAAAGCTTGACATATTTGTAAACTTGAGATATTCTTTCAAATAATATAAATTATATTTCAATGCATATTAACACGACCAAATAAAGGTTAATCTGTTTTAAGTCATGGGTTTTTTTTTTTAAATTTATACACATTTTTGTAAGTGGTACTTAATGGTAGCACTGATCAAATTAATTTAAGTCCATTAGATAAGCCAAATCTACTATCGAGTTATAGCCCTTGGGAGTTTTATACTAAGGGTATCGAAAGCTACAGTTTGAAATCAAAACTGTACATTTAGAAAGGGTATTGTATTCAAAAAAAACTTTCAATTAGCTACTGATTACCAATTTCTAGTACCTATTATCTAAGATATCGTTATTAGGAATAAGCTATTTATATATATATCGGATGCAAGTTGTAGACTTTGAGTAATGGAGTCACAAGCACGGGCTTAGCAAAAATGTGCGTACTATTTCATCAATTTTTTGTGCATTTGACGCTTAATTCGTTGATATTATTGAACCTAGTCTAAATACATACGAGTAAAAGATACTAACTACAACTTGTTAACCGTTAGGAGTTGAGATTCGTTTCTTTTTACAAATAATTTAAAATTAAAAAATTTGTACAACCGACTTCAATATAAATTGTTAAGAATAACTCAAAAACTATTGGTCATACCTTGATCAAATTTATATGGGACCACATGAGAATAAAAATAGACTCATCGAAATCGGTTCACCCAATAAAAAGTTATGATGTAACACACTTAAAAAAAATAAACATACAGTCGAATTGAGTACAGTCTCCTTTTTGAAGTCGGTAGGAAAAGAAGCTATATCTATTAAGGACATACGACCTTCTATTATTTTGCATTCGAATATAAACCTCACGCAAATCGAATTTATTTCGTTATTACGAAACAAAACATTTGCTGTACTTCATAATGAAATTCATCTACGTAAATAATAATTGTATTATTAAGGTTCGTTTTTATGGTGATTATAATCACCGATTACATTTGTACAAGAAACGCCTATTCTAACACTATATTTAAATTATCACATACAATCATTGGTAACCTATTAGCAATGACGTTTTCGTTTAGTTTGAGCCATATATTCTTTATAATATAAAGTACATTATTTCATATAATACTGCCGTTATCTGAACACTTAACACCCTGTGTTCGATAACGAAAAAAAATATTTTAAGGCTACGCTAGTCGACAACTCGAACTCGTCGCGGAGCGAGACTAAATTACGTAATGTATCACATAACTTCAGGTGAGAAAGGAATAAACGTGCACGCACGTTTCCATACGCTATATTTTATGTGCAATCCATGAATATTTTTTCTAAGAAACAGCGCGGAAATATTTACGAACAGGCTGTTAGGTCAAGGATATTTATAAGTGTAAAAATACGGATATTTCCGTTCCTCTTATTTTAAATCAATACTCGTTTTACTGTTCTGCTTACGATATCCTAGATAAAGTTAAAAGTAAAGTTACCGCATATATACGTCCCACTGCTGGGCACAGGACCCCTCTCATTTCTAAGAGGGTTTTAGATCACGAAAATATCCGCTACCCTAATGCGTGTTCGCGAACTTCACATGTTTTCGGAATATATTTTTTCTTATTTCTCAAACATGCAGGTTTCCTCACGATGTTTTCCTTCACCAGCGAGCACATGGTAAATCAGCATTTAAAATTGCAACTAACAATTGTCTAGTATGGCTCTTAACGACGGGACAAATAGGTATCATTGTTCAGTTTTGGACGCACACCATCAAACGACGGAGTAATCACTCTCCTCGTTAGTATGAAATAAGGAAGGACTAGCGCAGCCTTAATAGGCATAAGCTATGCACGTCACATGATAAATGCGTTCATGTATTTTCATCTAAAAATCACGGCATAATACGACGAATTGGCGCTTTAAATAAGAATATTATTACAAACAAAAATTTAAAAAAATAATCTATTTAATACATAAATATGCTTTATTGAGTAATTCTACAGCCGATATCTCCTCGAACGTCTGTTTCATAAAATTCAAATTCGAATTAGCCTCATTCTACCGAACACAAAATGGACGCTACGACAAAATGGCGGACGTAATAACGTCATTCTTATGGCGCTATTACAACATTTAAATAAAATTATAAATTTTACTATAATAATAAAGCCTCGGAGTGCTTACAGTCACCATAATATTATATACGTACTTTGAAGTTTAAAAAAAATCAAGTGCTGTTTTAAGACAATAAATATAAATTCATTGATGATATGATGTAAGAATTTAATTTATTACAATATAATTGCAGTTGTCATAATTAATTAGCATATTATAATATATACATAATATAATATTTTTTACATAGAATATGGCTTAACTGTACTAAACTTTTGAATCAAGTCAATTTGATTATAGCTATATTGTCTATGACAGATCTACCTCTAAGCTCTTATTATTACAGCCAATTAATGTCCACGGCTGAACATAGGCCTTCCCTTAAACTGTCGCATAAGGGAAATATTTGCCACAGTTACTACGTTTTGCAGGTGGGCTGGCAACTGCAGTTTTTATTTTCTTTATGTTATTAGGATGACGGTGCTGCCCATCTCCTGGTTCGTTTCCCTCTGTCGCCTCTTAAGACACCTACGTGGCGATATGTGGTAGTGGTTAATCTTACACCGCCACTACGCGGTGAAACGAACGTCTAATTTCATACAAAATAGAAATATTAAACAGTCATATAAATATATATAATAAATAACAAAAAATAATACATATATAAGCTATGCATTTTGCAATATTAATATTGCAATAATCCATAAAAATCAAATATCACAAAATACTAAAAATTATCATTTATCTATTTATAAAAACATAGACAATATACCTCATCTTAATTACCCCTCTTTGCATAATCTTCATCAAAAATCAATATGACAGTTTTTTATAATAGAAATTTACAAAGAACACATTTTATTAAAACAATTTTGCCTTAGCAACAAATTTAATAAAACTTTTTTTAAATATCTTTATACTGTCAACTTTGATTTAGTTACTGGTTTATAGAGTACAAGGCTCAAAATACTTTAAAGTAAAGACCTATTCACAATGGCGTATATCAAATGCCTGACTTTAGTTGAAAAAAAAACCATTAACAACACACACATTATGTAATAATTATAACGCTGCGAATAGGCGCCTAGTACCCTGATCGAATTGGGGGAATATACGAGTCCTATGTCTATTTCTCTCGTAATAAATGTCTATATTAGGATAAATCAAAGTCTATATTTTAAGAGAAGTTTTTTCCCTCATTGTCCTGTTTAGGTCAGGTTCTGCAGCATGGAGTTCAATGCATGGCAGTGACTCCGTGCATAGTCAAAAACGCGTGCAAGTCTCTGGGAACCTGCGACGGCCGGTACTTCGCCCCGTGTAAAGCCAAAGTGGTAGCTGCCAGGCAGGATAGACGGGGGTTCAATGCGGAACGGACTAAACTTTCAGCTGGACCTAGGAGTTAACACAAATTATAATGATTTCTTATATTTACGCGAACACTACACATTTAAATAAAACTAATTTTACGGATTTTATCGCTTATATTAACTTATTTTATATTCCCGAAGTTTCGAGCACTTAACAGCACCCATGGTCACGGGGGGGACTGAGGTGTATGACGTCCCAATGTCAAAGATAACCACGGCTACCTCCAGATTAAAAGTACACCTCCAGATTAATAAATTATATACATTATAACAGATTGTATTCGGACATGTATATCGATTAAGGTATGACCGAAACATTCTTTACAAAATAGAATTACGAGTATAATATATCGTTTGTTTCAATATACTGTTAGAAACAGTTGAGAGATTTGTTTTTAGGCTGTAACTTTTAAGAAAGTAAATAAACTTTTGTTTAGAATCAATCAGCACTCTTTGCCATCTTCCACTACATTATTATTTACCATATGGTGATGACAATGACAATGACTTGTCCAATATTGGTGTTTTTTAACATACATATGTGAGTGCGAATGCATTATTTCTTATAAAACTGAAGTGTAAACGAACTTACAGTTTTGATGATGTTGATGGTAAGTAGCTACACCAGTCTATGGACACTTACAACTTCAAAAATGTCTAATGGCTACAAATGTGTTGTCATGTTTGAGGGTTAATATGGAATGCGCCACAGCCTGTAATGCGTTACAGCGGTTGCACTTGTAAGTGAACGTGATAGAATAGGACATGTATAAATGTGACTTTTATATTTTTAAAAGGTAGTGCATTTTATTATGAAGTATCAAAGCTTGGTATTTATATTTTTTAAAGTTGTTGTATTGAACACGTGCCTCTCGGAGTCTGTTTTGACCAAGGAAGAAGTAGCCAGCTTGCTACTTTGGTTTAGCAGTGGGTTTGCATATTTGATATAATATTATTATTATTATATATATACCTAGTCAGGTCATAAATTCTGTCACATGTTTAATATAAAATAATTGAAACAAGTTTATTTATTATGTAACCATTTATATACCAAAATGAACTTAACAAAACATAGATTCTTATGACACTAAAGTTTATTCAAAATGACCTCCGTGATTTTGAATACAGGCCTTCAATCTGCGCGGCCAGTCGTCTATCGCAGCACGAACGAGGTCCATGTCAATATCGGCGGCTGCCTTAATCAAGGATGTCTTGAGTGACTCCAAATTGGGATGAGGCTTTGAGCACGCCTTTTCCTCCAAGTGTTGCCATATCTTGTAATCTAACGGATTCAAATCTGGACTGGAGGAGGGCCAGTCTTCGTGCCGGATGAAGTCGATTTCACGCGCCGCCAGCCAGTCTTGTGTGCTCTTCGCTCTATGAGCTGGCGCCAAATCTTGTTGGAATACCCAGTGCTTGTTATTGAACATGGTATGAGAAACGGGTTCCACAAGGTTCGTCAGGACTGTATTTTGATACACAACTGCATTTGTTTTTACACCTTCCTCACAAAAATGTACCTCTGTTAAGCCCCAATAAGAAACTCTTAACCAAACTACAAATAGGAACTACCATAATCCATGAGCGAAGATGGAAAATGACCTCGTTGGACACGCGGAATACGGTTGCACGCTTCTTCACTACTGTGTGCGTACACCTTATCATTTTGTTTGTTGTAGCTCTCTTCTATGGTAAAAATTTTTTCATCCGAAAAAAGAATTTCCCGATATTTTTTTCCCGCGTACCGCTTCAACAAAGCACGGCATCTCTTCAATCTCAGGTCCATTAGACGAGCATTTAAACGATGTCCTGTTTCTCTTCGATATGCCCGAAGTCCTAAGTCTTCATTTAACACCCTTTTTGCGTAACCGCAACGATGCAACGCAATAACTGCAACACGGTCTTCTTTAAGCGTCCACTCCATATTTAAAAATGAGTAAAATTCTAAAAAGTATACAGTTTTATTTTCATGAACAATTCGAAATTCGAATTCAATAAATTTTTTTGTGGCCAGCATTCTAAAAGAAAAGTTTTTACTGTGTGACAATACTTATGACCTGACTAGGTATATATATATTTTACTGTGTTCAGTGATCTTTATAAGGATAGAGGCAATATTGCTAAATATTCCTTTTATGTCAATAATTTCGGGAGTATTTCTTAAGAAGCGCCTGCGTCACGTACGCGCGTGTGCGTACGTGCGTCGGCCGTGTGCGTGTGTGTACGTGTGCGTGCGTGTGCGTGCGCTGACCGGCGATGGAGGCGAGCAGCGGCGTGATGCCGTCCGCGTCCACGGCGTCCACGTGCGCGCCGCGCGCCAGCAGCTCGCACACCACGCCGCACAGCGCCTCGCTCCACTGCTCGCGCTCCTCTGAACACACACATTCTACTTACTTCCCACCTCATACCAACTAACGAACACAGCTAGAACGCTACCTGCATTTTACATAACATGTAAACGTGCTAGAGCAACGCTGCAGCTATATTATAGTTGTAGCACGAATGGGTCGGCTCGACCGGGAAGGGCCACACTCACAGAATACCAGCGTAAAACAGGAGCATAATGCAACTGTGTTTCGTGATGAGTGTAGAGAACCGGAGAATCTTTTCACTGGAAACGAGGCATTCCATCTTAATCCTTAGTAGTGACAACACATCTGCACTGTGATTTTTAATCAAGGATAAATGTAGATGTCTATAGGCCGCAGAATCCACTTACTATCATGTGGACGGTATGCTCGTTTGTCACCCCTATTCTACAAAAGTGACGCCAAAAACATACTTAACAAATTGTAATATAACGCACTCGCGTACTCATCAAACATCATCATCTATCATTACAGCCTATAAAAATTCACTACTAAAATAGACCTCTGCCATATATATTGCCGATTTTGATTATTTTAGTTTTACTTGTTATTAGTTATTAGAAAATGAAGAAATCCGCCGTAGAAATAAGATTACTAACATAAACTTCCGTGTTTGTTAACTGGATGACAATGGACTGGCCACGTTTGTCGCAGAAATGTCAACCGGTAGAGTAGACATGTTATGGAGTGGCAACCGCATCTCATCATCATCATTACAACCCTTCACAAATCCACTGCTAAACATAGGCCTTCCCCAAGGAATGCCACAAAGCACGGTCCTGAGCCACCTTCATCCATCGACTTACTGCATATCTTACCAGGTCGTCACCCCATCTAGTGGGGGGACGCCCTACACTTCGTCCACCGATACGAGGCCGCTACTCGAGAACCTTTTTTCCCCATCGGTTGTAGGTTCTTCGAGTTGTATGGTCGGCCCATTGCCACTTCAGCTTACTAATCCGTTGGGCTATGTCAGTCACTCTGGTTCTACTGCGGATATACTCATTTCTAAGTTTATCACGCAGAGAAACTCCGAGCATAGTCCTCTCCATAGCTCGCTGAGTGAACTTGAGCTTACTCATCCGGCCAACAGTGAAGGACCACGTCTCAGTTCCATAGGTCATCACTGGCAACACGCACTGATTATACAGTCTCGTTTTCAATTTTTGAGGTATACCTAACGAGAAGATGTGCCGTAATTTCCCGAACGCTGCCCAACCGAGTTGAATCCGTCGATTGACCTCTCGGTCGAAGTTGGACTTACCTAGTCGGACTATTTGTCCCAGGTAAACATACTCGTCAACAACTTCGAGCTTAGTGTTCCCAACAACTACCGGCATAGGTGTGACTTGGATATTAAACATGATCTTTGTTTTGTCCATGTTGGCGACAGAAATAAATAAAGCAGGAGATGGGTTGCAGCGTCTCCCTAATAGACTAAAAATAAAAAACTGCAGTTACCAACCCGCTTGCCAAGCGTGGCAACTATGGCAAATATCTCCCCTATGAGGCAACTTTTTTTAATAGGATAGGGTGACAAACGAGCACAGTCTACCTGATGTTAATTGGTTGCTTAAACATCTACATCTATCCTCAATATAGAATCGAAATGCAAATGCAGATTTGTCACCCGTGACGACTAAGATGGAATGCCCCTTTTCTAGTAAAAAAGGGTCTCCGGTTCTCTACAACATCAGACGAAACACAGCAGCGTTAAGCTGCTATTTTACGCTGGTACTCTGTGAAAGCGTGATCCTTCCCCGGTCGAGCCGACCCATTCGTGCTACATCTATATTACGAATATGGCAGCATGGCTCTACCACATATGAAAATCAATCTATGGAGAAGCCTATGTTCAGATGTGGACTTTAGTAGGCTGTAACAGTAACGGTAGTGAGGCCTCCAACTCCCAATCCAGAAAACTTGTACGAGTAAACCCGTACATTTTTATATGTTAGCGTAATTGGAGCGCGGGCTCGTGTTTGACGTCATTTTAATGCATTGTACATATTATGTTTTCTTTTATAATAAACTCAGTACCATTCGCAAGGCGTTACGGTTAACAGTGTTTTATTTTGCATCCTACAATCTCAATATTTGAGTGGTACTCCTTAACAGCATTTAATCTTGCATTACACAAACAAAACTGATGATAAAAAATCGGGGGATAATTTGGTATTGCAGCTACACATCTATCACCTACATCCAAAATTTAATTACACCACTCGATAGCTAAAGAATCAATGAATTCGTTACGTATATGAGGACTGTGCCGCATCGCGCGCAGGGGTAGGTGGGAACGCCGCCATTTTGTGGTCGTTTCGTTACATACACACGCCACGACACAGCCACTTCTCTGGTCGAAATTCGAGATGTTCCAATTTTGACTACAGACATCTTTCAGTAAAGCACAGACGATACGAGTCAATATTAAATTCACCTGGTACAAGCTGGAATGATATAAGCGCCACGTGCAAAGCCGTCCGCCTCATGTCGTCAGCCGCATCTACTTCTAGACCGCACTCCAGCAGAAGTCGCGTCGTCCTCATACAAGGAAATCTAACAAACAAAAATACCTCTTTTACATTATTCCATAGAACAGAATCTTGAGCTATATATAGACAAACAAGGGTTGGGCTGGAGGGGAAGTGGGGGTAAGTCTACTGTACACTCTTTTTAATTCATGCTGATGATAGTTAATGAGATAATGAATATGTCATTCAAAATGTCTTAAAAAAGTCATTATTAACTATCAAAAAGTAGTTTCAGTCTATGTAATACTGGTACCAATTTAGTATTTTTAACAGACTTCAAAAACGTGTCAGTGGCGATGTATGATTTCTACTACCCTATATAGCCCCGAGGGTGTCGTAAGAGGCGACAGAAGGAAAATGAAACAAGAGATGGGCGGCAGCATCTTCCTGATTACAACTCAAAATAATAAAAAAACTGCGGTTGCCAACCTGCTTCCCAAGCGTGGCAACTAAGGCAAAATCACCCATGGGACAATCTATGAAGGAGGCCTATGTTCAGCAGTGGACTTTTATAGACTGTAATGGAATGGAACCGACTTCAAAAAGGACACATTTTTATAATGTGTAACCGATTTTGATGATTCTTTTTTTATTTCAACGCTGGTGCTTCTCATGTGGTCTCGTATAAAGGTCAAGATGATCAAGGTCTGACCAGTAGTTTTTGAATTATCCATAATAATTTATAGTGAAGTCGGTTGTACAAAATTTTTAATTTTACTACTTGCATAACTTTGATCATAGTTTTATAGGACTTGATCTTCAATGAAATCGATTTCGAAAATAATCGATAATAATCAATAATTATTGATCATTTCTTCGATTATGAAAGTCCGGAGTTACATACTGGCAGACGTCGCTGGTGTGGAAGTCGTCGACGGGGGTCCTCCTGTCGGCGGCCAAGTGCAGCAGCGTCTGTCCTGTGCGAAGCCTGACGTGTCTCAACCTAAACACTGCCCTTCGCACTGCACTCGTCGTCTCCTGACAAACAAATATACAACAGTATAATATCACTTTACGAGCATTTGCAAATCCACAGATGGACAAGTGTTTTTAGGAAATTTGTATTTTGGGTACACAGACAGCTCGGTAGCGCAATGGCTTAGTGTTTGGCTGCAAGGTCTAATCTCGCACAGAACAAGTATTTGCTTCTCTGTGAAATTCTACAGAATGCGAAATGTATTTGAGATGTGGTCCTTCACTACTGGCCGTATAAGGAAACTCATGGTCGCGCAGCGAGTTATGGAAAAAAAAAGAGAAAAAAAAGAGCTATGTTTTGAGTTTCTCTGCGTGATAAACTTCGTAATAAGAATATCCCCATTAGAACCAGAATAATTAACATAGCCCAACGAATGCATAAGCTGAAGTGGCAATGGGTTGGCCATATGGCTATTTGATTGGCAGCCTCATACTGTTAAGCAAAGTGTGGGACGTCCCCAACTAGATGGAGAGATGACCTGGTAAGAAATGCAAGAAGTCGATGTATGCAAGCAGCTCAGGTCAGGACCGTGCTTTTTGACGTTCCTTCGGGGAGGGTTATGTTCAACGGTGAACTTGTGATGGGCTGTAATGATGAACGTTGGTGGGCAAGACGCTGTCTTAAATCTCGTGACATTAGTAATTTGTTTACTTTAACATACATATCATAATATTCTCTCGCTTGGGCTTGCAAGTAAGGTTTCAATACAAATCGGTATTGCTTGGAGTATTAAAGTTGATTCATTTGTGCATTGTAAATAATTCAATATTTAAATATATATGTGATTACTTTAGAAGTCTCTGTTAAAATTTACTTAAAAATAACTGTTTCATTCCGGAGTGGTGTATAGACTTCTCGTTGACGTCAGACTGGAAATGAGGAGAAGCGGCAATGGTGTGAGACGTTAGATACAGATTGGTAATACGCCTACCAAATTTTGGGACTACCAATCCTCGTTAACTAAATCAAAGCTATTCGTAACGTAACCCCATTATTCGCTTAGTGGTTATCTTATAACGGTATTCAAAGAAAATTTCGAGTTTGGATTTCAACCCCACTATGTCGAAATTTGAACCTAGCCTGTACGGTGCAACCGCACATATTGCCCGATGCACTAATTTCATTGTTCATGAAGTCAGTTCGCAAAGCATCGCCACACAGCGCGTTCGCGTACTCATCATTAGCTATTAGTAGTTTTTAAATATATTTATCATTTTATGCCTTTAGCAGCATATTTTATTTATATTATCAGCAGCAGCATTTTAAGTGTATCGTACATCTTTATGGTCTTTCGAGCCGGATATAAACCAGCGACCTATAGATTACTACGAGCACTATTTACACAAATATTGACTTAAATTAGAAATTGTCTCTGAATATCAGCCTGGCTGTTGTGATTGTGTAAGTGTGAACGGTAGAGCACTGACCTCGCCTGCTTCGGTGGCAGGCGCGGCGGGCGAGTCGGGCGTGGCAGGCGTGGCAGGCGCGGCGTCGAGCAGGCGCGCTGCCACTGCCACCAGGTAGAGCGCGGTGCGCACGTTGCTCTCGTACTCCTCCTGCGCGCACACGGCGAGCGCCAAGCTCTGATACTCAACGCTAGCTACAGCCCCGCAGCCGCATTTACATTGAGACATCGCGCAAACAACATTGCCAAAAACATTTTTCCTTTTTGCCGATGTTTCACCAGTGTATATTTAATTCAAAATCAAAGTGGAATATTTTAATTTTCAAATACTTTACTTAAATACACACTTGTGCGTCCGTCTCGTAAATGTAAAAACGGCTTTTGTTCCAATGATATGTTAGTGTATGTACGAGCCTTAGTACTGATACTATTTTGTTACTTAGAGCTTACAAACTCTCAAAAATATTTAAATATACAACAACAAAGTTAATAAAATCCACTTTATTTAAAATTAAATTTATGAAAGGTAATTCAAAACATTTTCAATCATGTTCCTTTTTCTAGATTTTAGTCACCAATTCTACATGCAACTAAGCTTGTAAATGAATAATATTTATAAAGAAATTCTACTGTAAATACAATTAGGGCTACAATCATTTAGGATGTAAATTTATACAAATTCTAATGACAAACATGCACAAATTCCACCTGATACTAAGTGATGCTGTAACAGATAGATCATCCATATCCATAAATACAGCTGCAGCGTCATTGAAAAAAATATACAGCTGTTACCGCCAATGGAAAGTACAATATGAATGATATTTTAATTTTTTTTATTAACTCAGTCTCAAATCAATTAAGACAATATTTTTTTATTACATTATCTGACTATTCGTTACTAAACTATCAAATGGTTATAAATGAGAAATGGTATAAAAATATGAATGAATAACATACTATTAACGCCTCTGGGTCGTGGTTAATCTGTGGCTTTTCAATTCTCATCTGTCCTCTTTTGAGTTCTTCTGCACACGCTTCCAATACAAAGCAAACCTGAAAAATTCGATAAGCCACGGGTAAAAAAATTTCATTTTTACTCATTTAATTTATTATATTTACATAAACATGGTATATAGTATTATAGACCAAAGTCAATTTTAATATCACAACATGTTTGGCCACCCGGTAGCGCAATGCAAATGTATTTATTAATATATCTGGGATAATTAATTCTTTACTATTATTAAATATAATATAATAATACTCACTACCCCATATCTTCCCGTGGGTGTCGTAAAAGGCGACAGAGAGAAACTGAGGCAGAGGATGGGCAGCAGCATCTTTCTGATAACAGCAAAACAACAATAAAAAAACTGCGGTTGCCAACCCGCTCGACAAGCATGGCAACTATGGCAATATACCCCCCTATGAATGAATGAAACAAAGAGACGGCCCCCAGTCCCCAGCGGCCCCGCTATTCCTGGCTACGGTGGCAACCATGGTAACGACGGAGCACGGGGTGCTAAGAATTTCTGGTGGAGGTTCGGTTGCCACCTACGACGACTCGACCTGGCAACTTATAACGCACGCAGCCTGAGGACTGACGAGAAGATCCTGGAGCTGGAAGAAGAGGTAGACAAGTTGCGCTGGAATGTCATAGGATTATCCGAGGTCCGAAGAGAGGACACGGTAATCCTCGAATCCGGCAATTTGTTCTATCAACGGTAGGGCGACCATCTGTCTCAAGGAGCTGTCGGATTTATCGTCCACAAGTCTCTCGTTAACAACGTTGTAAAGATTGAGAGTGTGTCGACGAGGGTTGCGTACCTTATACTCAGAATCACCAAACTGTATTCGCTGAAGGTCATACAGGTTTACGCACCAACCTCGGCACACCCCGATGAGGAGGTGGAGGAAATGTATGAGGATATCTCTAGAGCCATGCATTCCTCCAAAACCCACTATACGGTGTTAATGGGAGACTTCAACGCAAAACTAGGCACAAGAGAGAACGGTGAGCTGAAAGTAGGGAATTTCGGAATAGGTCAATGGAACCCAAGCAGCCAGCAGCTGGCCGACTTCATGGAGAAAGAGGGACTCTTTATGATGAAATCTTTCTTCTAGAAGCGGCTCCACAGGAAGTGGACCTGGTCGAGCCCCGACGGTTCGAGAAAAAAGGAGATTGACTTCATTATGACGACCAGACGACAACTGTTCAGTGATGTCTCAGTGATCGCGAGCGTGGAAACCGGCAGCGATCACCGAATGGTGAGAGGCACACTGAACCTAAACGTTAAGTTGGAGAGGTCACGTCTAATGAAGTCAACGCTCCGTCCCCCTCGTGCTCTAATCCAAAGTCCCAAACCTTTCAGCTCGAGCTACAAAATCGTTTTCAGTGCCTAGAAGATTGCAATGCAGTGGACGATATGAATGACAAGCTCGTGGAAACCGTCCATGCGGTCGGAGCTAAGTTTTGCAAGACTCGCCGCAGAAGAACACAAAAACTCTCCGATTACACTCTTAATCTCATGGTTGTTAGACGGGGTATGAAGCTGCAGTCTTCAGTAGATTTGGCAGCATACAGGCACCTGAACAGACGGATCTCCAAATGCATGCGGCGGAACTTACACAACTTTAATACTGCTCGTATTAAAGAAGCGATCGAGTGGAACCAGGGCTCCAAAGTCTTTGCTAGAGATCTGTCTGCCAGAAAGAGGTTCTATGGACTCCAACGATGATGTGTACAGCTGCCCATAGAACCTCTCAATCTCACTCAAAATTTCAGGTTTCCCGGAAACGATGCTGCCACATTCGGTCTTCAGCTTTGACAGTTGGCTCTTTCTGGCACACAGATCTCTGGCAAAGACTTTGGAGCCTTGGTTCCGCTCGATCGCTTCTTCAATACAAGCTGTATTGAAGTTGCGTAAGTCCCGTCCCCTCCACCGGAGATTCTTAGGACTTGGATTGGTTGGCAACTGCAAATTTTTATTGTTGTTTTGCTGTTATCAGAAAGATGCTGATGCCCATCTTCTGCCACAGGTTCCCTCTGTCGCCTCTTACGAAACCCACGAGAAGATTTGAGTAATGGGTTTCTTACCCGCCACTACACGGGATAAATTTACTTAGTACCTATAAATTTCACTATGGACGGAGTATCATAGCTTTAGTAACAAAGACCTTGGGCGCGACTTGCTGATCATGATTTTGAGTAGTGATTTACCATCGTCTTGGTCGCAAAACGAACAATCCCAGAATGTATGAAACGTTGAAAACGTTTCCAGGACACTAGTCTACCAGATAGCACTGGAACAGCACAGTGAACATTCCAACTCTATCTACACGCTGAGAAAAAAAAATTAAGTTAGTGCTCAACAGAGGGACTAAAGTTTATTAAATATATAAGCCTTTGTTATTCATATTTACCTGAGATAAAGGCAATTCAATACCAATGTGTATCATCTGGGAAAAGACCTGGGCGAATCTGAGCAGATCCTTTACAACAGAAACCTGTTGACAAAATAAAATTGATTACAAAAAAAAACTAAACTACTACTACTTTAGTTCAAATTTTATTGTTTTATTTGTTTTTATTTAGCATAGAAATACACTCTTCTCTCCACTAATATGTACGAGGGGATCACCACATATAAAATAAAAGTTATATATTCAACAATAACTCACTTGAGTTAACATAGAAATAATATGTCATTCCCATTATTTTGTTTTATTTTAGTATTAGAAATTGCATAAAGTCAAGTTTGCTAAGTCTGCTGAAGTCTAGCTCTGGTGCAAATAGTTTCATGCTTTAGTTTAATGAAAGTCTAACAATCGACTGCTAGTTAGAGTTCTATGTATATTCTATGTTCTAGTAGAACGGCAATTCAGAAGAAAAACTGAGTCACAGCTGCGGATCGCGCGGCGCGAGTAGCTGGCACGGTAGATATGCCACGCACTTGTATTTTCATTTAGGACAGTAACAACACGGCGCCGCGGAACACGATGGGGTGCGGCAGTGCGGCAGTGCGGCGCGGTGTGCTGTACCTTGTTGTGGTGGCGCAGCTGCAGCGCGTGCCTCCACAGCGCGAGGCAGCGGTCGAAGCGCGCCTCGTCCGCGAACACGGCGCCGCGGAACACGACGGGGTGCGGCAGTGCGGCAGTGCGGCAGTGCGGCAGTGCGGCGCGGTGTGCTGTACCTTGTTGTGGTGGCGCAGCTGCAGCGCGTGCCTCCACAGCGCGAGGCAGCGGTCGAAGCGCGCCTCGTCCGCGAACACGGCGCCGCGGAACACGACGGGGTGCGGCAGTGCGGCAGTGCGGCAGTGCGGCGCGGTGTGCTGTACCTTGTTGTGGTGGCGCAGCTGCAGCGCGTGCCTCCACAGCGCGAGGCAGCGGTCGAAGCGCGCCTCGTCCGCGAACACGGCGCCGCGGAACACGACGGGGTGCGGCAGTGCGGCAGTGCGGCAGTGCGGCAGTGCGGCAGTGCGGCGCGGTGTGCTGTACCTTGTTGTGGTGGCGCAGCTGCAGCGCGTGCCTCCACAGCGCGAGGCAGCGGTCGAAGCGCGCCTCGTCCGCGAACACGGCGCCGCGGAACACGACGGGGTGCGGCAGTGCGGCAGTGCGGCAGTGCGGCAGTGCGGCAGTGCGGCGCGGTGTGCTGTACCTTGTTGTGGTGGCGCAGCTGCAGCGCGTGCCTCCACAGCGCGAGGCAGCGGTCGAAGCGCGCCTCGTCCGCGAACACGGCGCCGCGGAACACGACGGGGTGCGGCAGTGCGGCAGTGCGGCAGTGCGGCAGTGCGGCGCGGTGTGCTGTACCTTGTTGTGGTGGCGCAGCTGCAGCGCGTGCCTCCACAGCGCGAGGCAGCGGTCGAAGCGCGCCTCGTCCGCGAACACGGCGCCGCGGAACACGACGGGGTGCGGCAGTGCGGCAGTGCGGCAGTGCGGCAGTGCGGCGCGGTGTGCTGTACCTTGTTGTGGTGGCGCAGCTGCAGCGCGTGCCTCCACAGCGCGAGGCAGCGGTCGAAGCGCGCCTCGTCCGCGAACACGGCGCCGCGGAACACGACGGGGTGCGGCAGTGCGGCAGTGCGGCAGTGCGGCAGTGCGGCGCGGTGTGCTGTACCTTGTTGTGGTGGCGCAGCTGCAGCGCGTGCCTCCACAGCGCGAGGCAGCGGTCGAAGCGCGCCTCGTCCGCGAACACGGCGCCGCGGAACACGACGGGGTGCGGCAGTGCGGCAGTGCGGCAGTGCGGCAGTGCGGCAGTGCGGCGCGGTGTGCTGTACCTTGTTGTGGTGGCGCAGCTGCAGCGCGTGCCTCCACAGCGCGAGGCAGCGGTCGAAGCGCGCCTCGTCCGCGAACACGGCGCCGCGGAACACGACGGGGTGCGGCAGTGCGGCAGTGCGGCAGTGCGGCAGTGCGGCGCGGTGTGCTGTACCTTGTTGTGGTGGCGCAGCTGCAGCGCGTGCCTCCACAGCGCGAGGCAGCGGTCGAAGCGCGCCTCGTCCGCGAACACGGCGCCGCGGAACACGACGGGGTGCGGCAGTGCGGCAGTGCGGCAGTGCGGCAGTGCGGCGCGGTGTGCTGTACCTTGTTGTGGTGGCGCAGCTGCAGCGCGTGCCTCCACAGCGCGAGGCAGCGGTCGAAGCGCGCCTCGTCCGCGAACACGGCGCCGCGGAACACGACGGGGTGCGGCAGTGCGGCAGTGCGGCAGTGCGGCAGTGCGGCAGTGCGGCGCGGTGTGCTGTACCTTGTTGTGGTGGCGCAGCTGCAGCGCGTGCCTCCACAGCGCGAGGCAGCGGTCGAAGCGCGCCTCGTCCGCGAACACGGCGCCGCGGAACACGACGGGGTGCGGCAGTGCGGCAGTGCGGCAGTGCGGCAGTGCGGCGCGGTGTGCTGTACCTTGTTGTGGTGGCGCAGCTGCAGCGCGTGCCTCCACAGCGCGAGGCAGCGGTCGAAGCGCGCCTCGTCCGCGAACACGGCGCCGCGGAACACGACGGGGTGCGGCAGTGCGGCAGTGCGGCAGTGCGGCAGTGCGGCGCGGTGTGCTGTACCTTGTTGTGGTGGCGCAGCTGCAGCGCGTGCCTCCACAGCGCGAGGCAGCGGTCGAAGCGCGCCTCGTCCGCGAACACGGCGCCGCGGAACACGACGGGGTGCGGCAGTGCGGCAGTGCGGCAGTGCGGCAGTGCGGCGCGGTGTGCTGTACCTTGTTGTGGTGGCGCAGCTGCAGCGCGTGCCTCCACAGCGCGAGGCAGCGGTCGAAGCGCGCCTCGTCCGCGAACACGGCGCCGCGGAACACGACGGGGTGCGGCAGTGCGGCAGTGCGGCAGTGCGGCAGTGCGGCAGTGCGGCGCGGTGTGCTGTACCTTGTTGTGGTGGCGCAGCTGCAGCGCGTGCCTCCACAGCGCGAGGCAGCGGTCGAAGCGCGCCTCGTCCGCGAACACGGCGCCGCGGAACACGACGGGGTGCGGCAGTGCGGCAGTGCGGCAGTGCGGCAGTGCGGCAGTGCGGCGCGGTGTGCTGTACCTTGTTGTGGTGGCGCAGCTGCAGCGCGTGCCTCCACAGCGCGAGGCAGCGGTCGAAGCGCGCCTCGTCCGCGAACACGGCGCCGCGGAACACGACGGGGTGCGGCAGTGCGGCAGTGCGGCAGTGCGGCAGTGCGGCAGTGCGGCGCGGTGTGCTGTACCTTGTTGTGGTGGCGCAGCTGCAGCGCGTGCCTCCACAGCGCGAGGCAGCGGTCGAAGCGCGCCTCGTCCGCGAACACGGCGCCGCGGAACACGACGGGGTGCGGCAGTGCGGCAGTGCGGCAGTGCGGCAGTGCGGCGCGGTGTGCTGTACCTTGTTGTGGTGGCGCAGCTGCAGCGCGTGCCTCCACAGCGCGAGGCAGCGGTCGAAGCGCGCCTCGTCCGCGAACACGGCGCCGCGGAACACGACGGGGTGCGGCAGTGCGGCAGTGCGGCAGTGCGGCAGTGCGGCGCGGTGTGCTGTACCTTGTTGTGGTGGCGCAGCTGCAGCGCGTGCCTCCACAGCGCGAGGCAGCGGTCGAAGCGCGCCTCGTCCGCGAACACGGCGCCGCGGAACACGACGGGGTGCGGCAGTGCGGCAGTGCGGCAGTGCGGCAGTGCGGCGCGGTGTGCTGTACCTTGTTGTGGTGGCGCAGCTGCAGCGCGTGCCTCCACAGCGCGAGGCAGCGGTCGAAGCGCGCCTCGTCCGCGAACACGGCGCCGCGGAACACGACGGGGTGCGGCAGTGCGGCAGTGCGGCAGTGCGGCAGTGCGGCGCGGTGTGCTGTACCTTGTTGTGGTGGCGCAGCTGCAGCGCGTGCCTCCACAGCGCGAGGCAGCGGTCGAAGCGCGCCTCGTCCGCGAACACGGCGCCGCGGAACACGACGGGGTGCGGCAGTGCGGCAGTGCGGCAGTGCGGCAGTGCGGCGCGGTGTGCTGTACCTTGTTGTGGTGGCGCAGCTGCAGCGCGTGCCTCCACAGCGCGAGGCAGCGGTCGAAGCGCGCCTCGTCCGCGAACACGGCGCCGCGGAACACGACGGGGTGCGGCAGTGCGGCAGTGCGGCAGTGCGGCAGTGCGGCGCGGTGTGCTGTACCTTGTTGTGGTGGCGCAGCTGCAGCGCGTGCCTCCACAGCGCGAGGCAGCGGTCGAAGCGCGCCTCGTCCGCGAACACGGCGCCGCGGAACACGACGGGGTGCGGCAGTGCGGCAGTGCGGCAGTGCGGCAGTGCGGCGCGGTGTGCTGTACCTTGTTGTGGTGGCGCAGCTGCAGCGCGTGCCTCCACAGCGCGAGGCAGCGGTCGAAGCGCGCCTCGTCCGCGAACACGGCGCCGCGGAACACGACGGGGTGCGGCAGTGCGGCAGTGCGGCAGTGCGGCAGTGCGGCGCGGTGTGCTGTACCTTGTTGTGGTGGCGCAGCTGCAGCGCGTGCCTCCACAGCGCGAGGCAGCGGTCGAAGCGCGCCTCGTCCGCGAACACGGCGCCGCGGAACACGACGGGGTGCGGCAGTGCGGCAGTGCGGCAGTGCGGCAGTGCGGCGCGGTGTGCTGTACCTTGTTGTGGTGGCGCAGCTGCAGCGCGTGCCTCCACAGCGCGAGGCAGCGGTCGAAGCGCGCCTCGTCCGCGAACACGGCGCCGCGGAACACGACGGGGTGCGGCAGTGCGGCAGTGCGGCAGTGCGGCAGTGCGGCGCGGTGTGCTGTACCTTGTTGTGGTGGCGCAGCTGCAGCGCGTGCCTCCACAGCGCGAGGCAGCGGTCGAAGCGCGCCTCGTCCGCGAACACGGCGCCGCGGAACACGACGGGGTGCGGCAGTGCGGCAGTGCGGCAGTGCGGCAGTGCGGCGCGGTGTGCTGTACCTTGTTGTGGTGGCGCAGCTGCAGCGCGTGCCTCCACAGCGCGAGGCAGCGGTCGAAGCGCGCCTCGTCCGCGAACACGGCGCCGCGGAACACGACGGGGTGCGGCAGTGCGGCAGTGCGGCAGTGCGGCAGTGCGGCGCGGTGTGCTGTACCTTGTTGTGGTGGCGCAGCTGCAGCGCGTGCCTCCACAGCGCGAGGCAGCGGTCGAAGCGCGCCTCGTCCGCGAACACGGCGCCGCGGAACACGACGGGGTGCGGCAGTGCGGCAGTGCGGCAGTGCGGCAGTGCGGCGCGGTGTGCTGTACCTTGTTGTGGTGGCGCAGCTGCAGCGCGTGCCTCCACAGCGCGAGGCGGCGGTCGAAGCGCGCCTCGTCCGCGAACACGGCGCCGCGGAACACGACGGGGTGCGGCAGTGCGGCAGTGCGGCGCGGTGTGCTGTACCTTGTTGTGGTGGCGCAGCTGCAGCGCGTGCCTCCACAGCGCGAGGCAGCGGTCGAAGCGCGCCTCGTCCGCGAACACGGCGCCGCGGAACACGACGGGGTGCGGCAGTGCGGCAGTGCGGCAGTGCGGCGCGGTGTGCTGTACCTTGTTGTGGTGGCGCAGCTGCAGCGCGTGCCTCCACAGCGCGAGGCAGCGGTCGAAGCGCGCCTCGTCCGCGAACACGGCGCCGCGGAACACGACGGGGTGCGGCAGTGCGGCAGTGCGGCAGTGCGGCAGTGCGGCGCGGTGTGCTGTACCTTGTTGTGGTGGCGCAGCTGCAGCGCGTGCCTCCACAGCGCGAGGCAGCGGTCGAAGCGCGCCTCGTCCGCGAACACGGCGCCGCGGAACACGACGGGGTGCGGCAGTGCGGCAGTGCGGCGCGGTGTGCTGTACCTTGTTGTGGTGGCGCAGCTGCAGCGCGTGCCTCCACAGCGCGAGGCAGCGGTCGAAGCGCGCCTCGTCCGCGAACACGGCGCCGCGGAACACGACGGGGTGCGGCAGTGCGGCAGTGCGGCAGTGCGGCAGTGCGGCGCGGTGTGCTGTACCTTGTTGTGGTGGCGCAGCTGCAGCGCGTGCCTCCACAGCGCGAGGCAGCGGTCGAAGCGCGCCTCGTCCGCGAACACGGCGCCGCGGAACACGACGGGGTGCGGCAGTGCGGCAGTGCGGCAGTGCGGCAGTGCGGCGCGGTGTGCTGTACCTTGTTGTGGTGGCGCAGCTGCAGCGCGTGCCTCCACAGCGCGAGGCAGCGGTCGAAGCGCGCCTCGTCCGCGAACACGGCGCCGCGGAACACGACGGGGTGCGGCAGTGCGGCAGTGCGGCAGTGCGGCGCGGTGTGCTGTACCTTGTTGTGGTGGCGCAGCTGCAGCGCGTGCCTCCACAGCGCGAGGCAGCGGTCGAAGCGCGCCTCGTCCGCGAACACGGCGCCGCGGAACACGACGGGGTGCGGCAGTGCGGCAGTGCGGCGCGGTGTGCTGTACCTTGTTGTGGTGGCGCAGCTGCAGCGCGTGCCTCCACAGCGCGAGGCAGCGGTCGAAGCGCGCCTCGTCCGCGAACACGGCGCCGCGGAACACGACGGGGTGCGGCAGTGCGGCAGTGCGGCAGTGCGGCAGTGCGGCAGTGCGGCAGTGCGGCGCGGTGTGCTGTACCTTGTTGTGGTGGCGCAGCTGCAGCGCGTGCCTCCACAGCGCGAGGCAGCGGTCGAAGCGCGCCTCGTCCGCGAACACGGCGCCGCGGAACACGACGGGGTGCGGCAGTGCGGCAGTGCGGCAGTGCGGCAGTGCGGCAGTGCGGCGCGGTGTGCTGTACCTTGTTGTGGTGGCGCAGCTGCAGCGCGTGCCTCCACAGCGCGAGGCAGCGGTCGAAGCGCGCCTCGTCCGCGAACACGGCGCCGCGGAACACGACGGGGTGCGGCAGTGCGGCAGTGCGGCAGTGCGGCAGTGCGGCGCGGTGTGCTGTACCTTGTTGTGGTGGCGCAGCTGCAGCGCGTGCCTCCACAGCGCGAGGCAGCGGTCGAAGCGCGCCTCGTCCGCGAACACGGCGCCGCGGAACACGACGGGGTGCGGCAGTGCGGCAGTGCGGCAGTGCGGCAGTGCGGCGCGGTGTGCTGTACCTTGTTGTGGTGGCGCAGCTGCAGCGCGTGCCTCCACAGCGCGAGGCAGCGGTCGAAGCGCGCCTCGTCCGCGAACACGGCGCCGCGGAACACGACGGGGTGCGGCAGTGCGGCAGTGCGGCAGTGCGGCAGTGCGGCGCGGTGTGCTGTACCTTGTTGTGGTGGCGCAGCTGCAGCGCGTGCCTCCACAGCGCGAGGCAGCGGTCGAAGCGCGCCTCGTCCGCGAACACGGCGCCGCGGAACACGACGGGGTGCGGCAGTGCGGCAGTGCGGCAGTGCGGCAGTGCGGCGCGGTGTGCTGTACCTTGTTGTGGTGGCGCAGCTGCAGCGCGTGCCTCCACAGCGCGAGGCAGCGGTCGAAGCGCGCCTCGTCCGCGAACACGGCGCCGCGGAACACGACGGGGTGCGGCAGTGCGGCAGTGCGGCGCGGTGTGCTGTACCTTGTTGTGGTGGCGCAGCTGCAGCGCGTGCCTCCACAGCGCGAGGCAGCGGTCGAAGCGCGCCTCGTCCGCGAACACGGCGCCGCGGAACACGACGGGGTGCGGCAGTGCGGCAGTGCGGCAGTGCGGCAGTGCGGCGCGGTGTGCTGTACCTTGTTGTGGTGGCGCAGCTGCAGCGCGTGCCTCCACAGCGCGAGGCAGCGGTCGAAGCGCGCCTCGTCCGCGAACACGGCGCCGCGGAACACGACGGGGTGCGGCAGTGCGGCAGTGCGGCAGTGCGGCAGTGCGGCGCGGTGTGCTGTACCTTGTTGTGGTGGCGCAGCTGCAGCGCGTGCCTCCACAGCGCGAGGCAGCGGTCGAAGCGCGCCTCGTCCGCGAACACGGCGCCGCGGAACACGACGGGGTGCGGCAGTGCGGCAGTGCGGCGCGGTGTGCTGTACCTTGTTGTGGTGGCGCAGCTGCAGCGCGTGCCTCCACAGCGCGAGGCAGCGGTCGAAGCGCGCCTCGTCCGCGAACACGGCGCCGCGGAACACGACGGGGTGCGGCAGTGCGGCAGTGCGGCGCGGTGTGCTGTACCTTGTTGTGGTGGCGCAGCTGCAGCGCGTGCCTCCACAGCGCGAGGCAGCGGTCGAAGCGCGCCTCGTCCGCGAACACGGCGCCGCGGAACACGACGGGGTGCGGCAGGTCGGGGCAGGCGCGCCCCAGCACGCGCTCGCGCACCGCCAGCCCCTCCATGTGTAGCGCGTGAGCGTTGCCGTGCAGCCGCTCCACCTCCTGCACACGTTTATTATAGGCTTAGCACGCACTGCGGTTAAACTCAGTCAGTCTGAACAATCATTCAGTTTTAGGATACTTGAAAACGAGCAAACGCACTGCGGCTGGCTTTAACTCTAAATATATTTCAGTACCACTATGGATTTCAGGCGAGCGGCGTATGTTTGGCTTTGTTTTTACCCTTTCTCCCTGGACACATTATGATGTACCCCTCCTACCAAAACCGGCTGCACACTAACCGTTACGGTTTTAACACTACTGTGTTTCGTATAGTGAGTGTAGAGAACCGTAGACCCTTTTTACTGGAAAAGAGGCATTCCATCTTAGTCCTCACGAGTAACAACTCATCTGCGTTTTGATTCTTTATTGAAGATAGATGTTGATGTCTATGGGTCACAGCAACCACTTACCATCAGGTGGACTGTGTGCTCGTGCCACCCTATTCTATAAAAAAACCTCGGTGTGTTCTACAACCTTTAGAGTATTTATTAGCAAGCTATGATTATAAATACTCTAAGCTACTACCAACTAATATCAAAAGATTCAATTTATTATCTCACAACACCTAACCCTACAGTAGGAGCGGCCTTAATTAAGGGGGAAGCTCCAATATCCCCGCCATACATTTTTATTTTGACATATACGTTAAACAAAGACACTATTTGTTTAAAACTAATCATTTTATCACTTTTCTATACTGAAATGTGCTCGCGATTGACCTTATTAGGAAATAACTTACAGTATTTATTAAGAAAAACAATAGTGAAATCTAGGAAAATTTTGACACTTCTTTAGTAGTGTGAGTGAATTTTGACAACTTGACAAGCAAAAGCGCCAAAACATAATTTAAACATTGACACGCTAGATGGTGTGCAGACGATATTGTTGTCCAACAAATACCATTATTCGTAGGTAGATATTATGCAACGATGCCGTACTTCTTAACCTTGAACTAGATGCATGAAGAAAAAGCGATACCAAACTTCCATGTCTTGTTTGACTGTAATAAAATTTATACATTCTAAAGCTCGATTGTCTAGGGATAGGATTTGCGCGAGGAATTTCTTGCGATTTATATTATATTTTTGTATGATTTTCATTGATTCAATTTGCAATATTTCTAGTATGTATTTGATTCCAATATAATACAATATATTGTAATTTATCGTAGGTATAGTAATTAATTATTCAAAATACGCAATTTTCTATTTCGGTGTTATTAGAAACGCAAGTTGGCCCGTGATTTCAAATCTCGTTACAATACTAATATAATTTATAACCACTGAAGTAGTCACAAAATTAATTTTACAAACATTTTCAAAATATAGTTTTGCGGGGTTACGTAAAAATATCTATTGCGTATTTTGCAAACAATTTCAGACAGACACATATTATTATAAGTTTGTTTTATTTTGTTGTAGTACAAAGCTCTAGCTCGCGTCGTATCGTTTGTTGTTGTTGGTCCTGGACTTTTTTAGTTGATTTGTCCTTTGATAACAAATGAAAATAATGGTTATGTATTTAATATTAATTTTGTTTTATTATGGTTATTACATTAATAATTATTTATTTATTAATAAAGTTTTTATGAATAAAATAATTATAAATATTAAGCTTTATAAAAATAGAATAGAAATAAATGTAAGTATATTATTTAAAAATTGGTAAACATGTATACGAGCCATAGTAGCTCAGATGATTAGCGCTCACTGCAAATTTCACACTACGCGAGCAACCCGAGTTCGAGCCCTGCCGGCACCGATGAATTTGTTAATTGCACCATGGCAGACATTTTATTTTCTTGCCCTAAAACTAATCTAATAAAAAAATAATCAACAAGTCAAATGATTTTTGTTTTACTAAAAGCTTTTGTAGTTGTGTGTGCTTTTAAATTAGGAAATATCTTTTCACCTTCCTGGTAATTATCGCATACTGTTGGTGACGCGTCTATAAATAATATTTCAATTTATTAGTTTACCAATTACGAATAGCTTCTAAAGATAAATTATCAAGCAATAATTATACTATAAGAAAACGCTTAGTAAAATTTTAAAGAAATTTCGAATCCTAAGGTCCAGGGTTCGATTCCCCGGCCGAACTTGTTGAATAGTGAGAACCTTTCTTTCCCATCCGTTGTCCGTTCTTCGAGCTTTATGGCCGGCCCACTGCCACTTCAGCTTACTAATCCGTTGGGCTATGTTGGTCACTCTGGTTCTACTGCGGATATCCTTATTTCTAAGTTTATCACGCAGAGAAACCCCGAGCATAGCCCTCTCCATAGCTCGCTGAGCGACCTTAAGCTTCCTCATACGGCCAGCAGTGAAGGACCACATCTCAGATCCGTAAGTCATCACTGGCAACACGCACTGATTGTACAATTTCGTTTTCAGGTTTTGAGGTATGTCTAACGAGAAGATGTGTCGTAATTTCCCGAACGCTGCCCAGCCGAGTTGAATCCGTCCATTAACCTCTCGGTCGACGATGGACTTACCTAGTCGGACTATTTGTCCCAGGTAAACATACTCATCAACAACTTCGAGCTTAGTGCTCCCAACAACTACCGGCATAGGTGTGACATGGACGTTAAACATGAGTTTTGTTTTGTCCATGTTCATCTTAAGACCTATCCGTTGCGAGACACTATTGAGGTAATTGAGCATAGTGCTTAGGTCCTCCAGCGATTCTGCCATAAGGACTATATCGTCGGCAAATCGAAGGTGAGTGATGTACTCGCCATTGATGTTAATACCGCATCCTTGCGGTACATCAATATGACAAACAATCAGAACACTTATACAATCAGATTAATAAAATATTGCAAATATATCCATTCAAGACATATGACTGTAAGAAATACTATAATATAAATATATAATATGTGTATAATAATGCAGTGGCTTAAGACACTTAATTACGATCAAACTGAAGCTTTATTACAATTTATCTTATAACACATTCACTCACTGTTTTTTTTTAACACATGCACACATGCACACACACGCGCGTGCGCACACACACAAACACAACACACACACACACACACACACACACACACACACACACACAACACACACACAACACACACACACAAACACAAACACACAAACACAAACACACAAACACAAACACAGTTAACTTGGCACCGCTGAAGGGACTGCAGCACCGCCCAAATTTCGACGGAATCAAAGGCTTTCTCATAGTCCACATACGCAAGGCAAAGTGGCAGATTATACTCCTCTGTCTTCTGTATAATCTGCCGCAGGGTATATATGTGGTCTATGGTACTAAAGCCTTTTCGGAAACCAGCTTGTTCGGGAGACTGGAAGTCGTCAAGTCTGCGTGCGAGACGATTCGTAATGACTCTCGAAAACAGCACGTAGACGCGGCTCAGAAGGGAAATCGGTCTGTAGTTCTTCAAGAGAGCATTGTCGCCTTTCTTGAAGAACAAGACCACCGCACTTCTGCTCCACACAACTCCGGAGTAGTACCACCATGGAGGACGGAATTAAAGAGCCTCTGAAGGACAGTATACAACTATAAGTTACAGCCTATATACACGTCCCACTGCTGGGCACAGGCCTCCTTTCATTTCTGAGAGGGTTTTAGGGCAAGGAAAGATCCGCCGCGCTGCCCCAATGCGTGTTGACGAACTTCACATCTCTTCGAAATATATATATTTTTTCTTATTTATCAGACATGCAGGTTTCCTCACGATGTTTTCCTTCACTGCCGAGCACGTGGTAAATCGATCGAACCCGGGTTTCTTGCGTACTGTGAAACTTACAGCGAGGAGTTTCCGCGGCTCATTTTACAAATATAACTTTTATTTTTATAACATAATCGTAAAATACTGGTATTCAGTTGAATCCGGTTTGACTGCGAGCCGACCCCAATATAGTTGGGAAAAAGGCTAGGCAGATGATGAAAGGTACATATATATCGTAGCAGGTGGCGTTCTGTAGTTCTGTCTTACCCATACAGAAAAAAGGAAAACATTTTTTTCATTCACGTCATCTAGTATTCAATTTTCGTAAATGTAGGGACTAAGAATTCACCCACGTCAGTGTGTGTAAACATCACTATATTCAATGACAGATGTTATTTTCGGACTTTGTGTTGAATTGTGTGGATTTTGAGGCAATGATATAAGCTAGTAAAATAAAGTATAATGTCCGAGTATCGCAATTGCTACTTCTACGACTTAATGTTCCAATTACACAAAAACCCAAATAAACTAAAAAATTATGACTTCAGCGCCATCTCGCGGGAATATGACCGGGAACAGACCGTATGTTTCACCTTAACAAAGACGCGTAACGGGCTAAGTGATACAAACTCTCGCACGCGGATGTAAGATGCATTTTGATTTAATGCGCGTGCCGCGTTAATTTTTTTTTTTTCGACGATTTAATCGGTAGGCTAATTTGACAAATGTCGCTTCCGAGGCATGCAAAGTAGGTATTATGAACATTAGCGACGTTGCAACTAGGTATAAACTCTCAAAATTGCTATCAGAGAGTGATTATCTGTTCTTGTACTATTATTTATTCTGTGCTTAAACTAAAGATGTCTAAGTAACAGCATAAAACAACAGTTTAATGAAAAATAGAAAAACATACCTCTATCGTTGTGCTCTCCCTCCAATTATCATAAGCAGGAATTGGATCAGCCGGTTTCTTTAATAACACTCCATAACGGGTGTCGTAACGCATCGTCATTGCTCTGTGTAGGTACTGATAGGCCATCTTTGAAACAAATACAAAATATTATACAAAAACCTATTTCCTGATAAAATAGATTCCTAGAGCTACAATTTAGTTTAGCCTCGCCACTAAAAAAATAACTAGTTTTGTCTTACAAAAAGAACCTAGTTTTTGCATAACTGGTAGTTCTGAGAATTATTGTTACTGTAGCTATGGTTGGTTTAATCCACAGCACTTTAGTTTCAACATGATAGTTCGTACTTTTAGCCATATAAGTTGTATGGATATGTATATCTTTATACATATAAAGGTTTCACTCGACCACAATCGAGCGTGTGTCTAGTGTTGAACAAGCTTGATTGTGAATGGGTGCTAAAAAGCGACCAAAACATCGGGAATTAAAAAGTTGAAATGAAACACGATGAAATCCGTAAAATTAGTTTCATTTAAGATGAGGGTATAACTGTATGGTTTACGCCATACATAAATACCCAGACTGGCGAGAACAGCAACGTTAAGTACTGAGATGTCTGGTTCTGCGTTGCGAAGGCAAATCAGCCTGTGCAGCAGTGGCCTTTTATAGGCTAAAGAAAAAGTAGTTGTAGGTTATAAGTCAATAAACTCACCCTAAGACAGTAATATTCCTTGTCGTTGGCGAAGGACGCTCCCAGCAGTTCATAGGCCTCAACTGCCTGAGCACGAGTCACCTCCGGCCTAGCCGCTAGGATTTCCACCACCGATGCACGAGCTCTCTCTGCTGCGCATTGTAGTGGCGTCATACCTACATCAAGTAAAGTTACAACATATAACAATGTGGAATGTACTAAGCCAACTGCCTAAAATTACTTTATAAATCATTATTCTTCATCATCATTACAATCCATCAAGTCCAAGTCCCTCAATAAATGTGACAAAGCATGGTATTAAGCAACGGGCATCTATCAATTTAATGTATATTTTTACCAGGTCGTCACCTCCATATATCAGGGTTACGCCCCACACTTCGCTAAACAATACGAGGTTGCCACTTGTAACTTTTCTTCCCCATCGGTTTTTTGTTGTTCAAACTATATGGCCGGCCATTTACCACTTCAGTTTAATGGTCCGTTTCGCTAGGTCGGGTACCCTTGTTGTAGTGAGGATACCTTCAATAAGAAGTCTATTACACAGAAAAAATCCATGCATAGCCCTCTCCATAGCTCGCTGAGCAACCATGAATTTCCTGGTTCAGTAAATGGATCGATATGTAGCAGTGTCTTCCTAATAACAACTAAGAAAAAACTGTTGTTAAGAGCCCACATACATGCCAAGCGTAGCAACTATGATGAAAATGAGCAACGACATAATGAAAGGTTCTTAGTCCGCCTCCTAAGCGTGGAGATTATAGCAAATCCTCCCAATAACAAGAAAGGCCTGTCTAAACTTGGCTGTTACCTAACCATTTTGTCCATGTTACCTAACTGATCCATGGTAGAGCCATGATTCAGCTACATTATGGTTGTAATCCAAACGGGTAGGCTTGCCTGAAGAAGGACCACGCTTTCACTGAACACGAAAGTAAAATAGTAGCTTAATGCTGCTGTGTTTCGTCACAGTCTATAAATCCATATAGTCGTCCGACGAAGACGTCTAGACAGGGCAATCATGCGGGGTGTGAGGGGTGAGACGCGGGAAGGACGAGCCCGAGCTGCTCATGCCAATCGTATTAGTAGCTCGGGGCACGAATTCCAAGGTTAACGCGCGTTTGCTTTTATAATTTTTAAATTTAGTGTTGATACTTATAATTAAAATGGTTCATACGACGTGTGCTGTGAGAGATTGCAAGTCGTCATCTCGCATAAATAAAAATCTGTGATTTTACCAAATCCTGCACACGAAAGAAACGTAAATGAATATTGTTATTATTTTTACATTATGTATATTTTATCATGTCATGCCAAATTGTCAACGTAAAAAATGGGGGACGTAAAAAATAGGTACTAGTCGCTGGGCATTACTGTTTCGAAGTTTAATTTTTTTTCTTCATCTAAATCGTGTGGTTGGACAGGATAAGGTTTTAGACCATACTATAGTGCCTCGTCTTCGGTTTTTCGAGTTTTTGTTTTATAAAATATTAAGATTTAGGGGTCAATTTTTAGGTTAGTCGGGGTGCTAATTACGAAAATAGCATTTATTTTTAAATCAAAGATGGCGGTAATTTTTTAATATATGTATGATATTGATGTCAATTTAAAGGTTTATTGGGGTGATGATTACAAAAATGGCATCCGTTTTTATATCCAAGATGGCGGACATTTTTTTAGTAATATGATATGGGTATCAATTTCGAGGTTTCTTGTGGTGCTGATTACGAAAATGGAATTCATTTTTAAATCCAAGATGGTGGACATAATTTTTTTTAATGTTATGGATGTCAATTTCGAGGTTACTTAGGGTGCCAATTACGAAAACGGCATCAATTTTCATACCCAAGATGGTGGATTTTTTTAATAATACAATATGGATGTCAATTTTAAGGTTTCTGGGGGTGATAATTATGAAAATTTATTAGTAAGTAATGTATTTAAAAATTTCAGATGCAAATTATGGATGGAAGTTATTTTTTTTTTATATTTTTTATTCAATATACATTACATGTGTAATTCTTATTGAAAGTCATTTTTACTTTACCACTGGTTCGAAAAAAACCCTCTGTCCTGGGAAGAACCAGCAAGAAACCCAGCGGGACTTTTTTTTTTTAAATAAATTTTACAATATAAATGATTACGAACTATTTACAAAATTTATTTTAGAAACTGCTTGGAAGCGATCACCTCATTCCCAGGGGTTATTATCAACCATGTATTCATTTATACTATAATAACCCTTTTTATACAGTTTCAGCTTAATAAAACATTTAAACTTGGTAATAGAGAGAACCTGTACACTTTCCGGGACCTTGTTGTAATAGCGTATACATTGCCCCAAGAATGAATTACTGACTCTGTGGAGTCGAGAAACTGGTATCACTAGCTTGTGTTTGTTCCTAGTGTTTACAGAATGTATATCACTTCTTTTACTAAAACTATCTTTGTTTTTGTGAACATACATTAAATTTTCGTAAATATACTGAGAGGCCAAAGTTAATATATTAATTTCTTTAAATTTATCTCTAAGAGACTCTCTCGGTTTTAGATTGTAAATAGCTCTAATGGCCCTCTTCTGTAAAACAAAAATAGTTTCTGAATCAGCCGCATTTCCCCATAGCAAAATCCCATAAGACATTATGCTATGAAAATAACTAAAATAAACTAATCTAGCTGTCTCGACACTAGTGAGACCTCTAATCTTTTTTACAGCATAGGCTGCAGAACTTAGTCTGCTTGCTAATTTGGATATATGGGGGCCCCACTGGAGCTTTGCGTCAAGAGTGATGCCAAGAAAAATAGTGGATACAACAGGGCTCAATTCCTCCCCATTTAAAAACACATTGGTATTCAGATTTTGAACATTCGTTGTTGTAAATTTAACACAATTAGTTTTATTTCCGTTCAAATGCAGATTATTAACGTTAAACCAATGCACTAATTTTGATATAGCATTATTCACTTCGTCACATTTAAATGATTGACGTTTAAGTTTAAAAATCAAGGAAGTATCATCAGCAAATAATACTATATCATGACTATCCCCTACAAGGTGAGGTAAGTCATTAATATACACCAGAAACAGGAATGGGCCGAGAATCGAGCCCTGAGGTACACCCATTAGTACAGGTGACCCGGAAGAACTTTTACCATTGATAATAACCTTCTGTTTTCTATTACTTAAATATGAAATAATAAGTTTAAGCGCTGTGTTCTTGACACCATAGTACTGTAGCTTCCTGATTAATGTCTCATGGTGAACACAGTCGAAGGCCTTGGAAAGGTCACAAAATATACCCAAAGCATCTTCTGAATTCTCCCATGCACAAAAAATATGTTTAATAAGCTCAACTCCAGCGTCAGTTGTCGAGCGACCCCTTGTAAAACCGAATTGATTATTATGTAGCAATTTATTAATATTAAAGAAACTTAACATCGGATCTAAAATAATTTTTTCAAAAATTTTACTTAATGTTGGTAGTACAGAAATTGGTCTAAAATTGGCGGGGTCTAATGTACTACCAGATTTAAATATAGGTATGACTTTACTATGTTTCATTAAATCAGGAAACACACCAGATTCGACGCTTATATTAAATATAGTGGCTAGATAAGGTGCTAATGTATCTATTATAGATAAAATAACTTTAACGGAAATCCCCCATAAGTCTGCCGTTTTCTTAACATCAATAGTTTTAAAATATTTAACGATATCTTTTAGCAGTACCCTATGGAATTTAAAAGTATTTGAACAAGCCTTTACATTTTGTTTGAGCAATGATTCGGCGACAGTAGGAGAAGAATTTAATGATTTTGTTGTCAAAAAAGGAACATCAGTAAAATGTTTCTCAAAAGCCATAGCAACTTCTTGATCAGATCGCGTTAAATTATTGTTAATATTCAATTGAAAATCCGAGTTGCGCGGTTTGACTTTGCCCGTTTCACTATTTATTATTCTCCAGGTCATTTTAATTTTGTCGGATGCAGTTTTAATTTTGTTGCTTAAATATAAAGTCTTAGCAGTGGAGCACACTTTTTTAAATATTTTAGAATATGTTTTTACATAATCTCTAAATATAACACTACTATTATATGATCTTTCATCATAAAGCTCGTCTAACCTTCGCCTACTTTTATAAATTCCTACTGTCGCCCATTCATTAAATGATTTGCGACTGTTAAAAGAGAAAGTTTTAGAAGTAAATATTCTACTAAATTCACAACGTATAATTTCAAATAATGTAGCATACAAATAATTAGCACTATTTTTAAACGAAAGTGATGGAAGTCTTTTTATTATATTACTTCTAAACCTCTCCAAGCGATGTTCATTTATTGGAACAAACACAACTTTCTTATTTTTCTGTTTTTTGTGTATGTAAGGTAGTGATACTAACTGTCCACAGTGATCTGAACTTAAATTTTGAATAATTGATTTATGCAAGGGCTTAACATCTGTAAAAATGTTATCTATACAGGTCGCACTAGGCCCAGCAATACGTGTTGATTCTAAGAATAAATTTACAAGATTATACGATTTAAACAATGAGCTAAACTTAATACTAATGGAAGAAGTTTCAAGGAGATTGATATTAAAGTCTCCACACATTACAACAGACTTGTTCTGTTTACTAAGTTTGAGTAAAACTTCTTCCACAATCCTTTCAAAATGGTCATAAGTAGCACATGGGGGTCTGTAAACACTTACAACAATGAGGTGCTCGAGCTCGACACAAGCCATTTCTATAGTTCGTTCAACAGAGAGGCTCACAATATCCTTACGTTCTTTATATAATAATGATTTATCTGCTAATATTAAGGAGCCACCACGTATTGGAAGACCTGATTTAGTTGGAAGAACTTTCGAAAGCCTAAAGAACCAATTATAAAATAAACTAATAATTCAATGTCTGTAGTCATTATAACGTTAATAATAATAATATGGATTTGATGTCTAGCTAAGAGTATTAGAACGATTTTATGTAGCGAAGTTGATATATGGCCACATATCGAGAGTAGAGCACTCCCTCACGTTGTGAGGCTTGCAATTAACGTTTTAAGTACTTTCAGGAAAAATGTAAGAACTAATTTTTTCTTATTTTTTATATTAGTAATTATACTGTTGATGACGATGTAGATCTAAAATAAATAATTAAATTAGTAAAAGTTGTTAATTTGTGACAACCCTAACCTCCATACGCTGTCTAGACGTTGTCGGCATTTACCACGTGATGAAAAGCGTCGTCCTACTGTATGTTTATTATACTGTGGTTTCGTTTAGTGAGTGTAAAGAACAGGAGACCCTTCTTACTGGATACGAGACATTCCATCTATGCCTCAGGGATGACAACTATAAAATAAATGTAGATGTCAATGGGCCATAACATCCACCAACGATCAGGTGGACTGTGCTTCTTTGTCACCCTTATTTTATTAAAAAAACGTGTGCGTGTGTGTACTTATATACCCACGTAGGAAGTTATACTTCTTTAGTGTAACAAAACAAAAATAACTAAAATAAAATACGTTTTATTGATTCATACATATTTGAACAACTAACTTGAATATTGTTATCAGTTCTCACGAAAACTTGACTGTTGACAGACAATTACCAACTGAAGATGTCGCTTTTAGGTTTCGGTGCGCATCGTAACAACATCATGGTGTCGTTTTTAGGTGTCGGTGTGCGGGCGCATCGTAAAAAATTCACTCTCATCATTTTAACAAGAAGTATAACTTCAAAAATATCCATCGTTTTAAGCGGTGTATCTAATCATAATATAACCAAAGACTTCCTAATTATACTACTAGACCGGACGCAGACACGGGCGAATAGCTGGCACGATAAATATGCCACGCAGTTGTACTTTCATTTAGGACAGTTACTGTTGTTTAGGCAAATACGAAAAAGTTATAATTATCGAAAATAAACTTTAAATCACGTTCGACATAGTGCGCACATAAATAATGACAGCATTTTCTTAGTCACGTTAAACATAAACAGTATTAGATTGTCAAAAAGAACGTTCGCGATTTATAAAACAAAGAACTAGTCTTCTCGCTCGCTCGTAGTCGACTACATAAATTACGGAGAATGGACCATAAATCTGCGCACAATGTACGAGTATTAGTACCGTAGTGCCCATCTAGTAGTATGCATATGGCCCCTCTACACAACGCGAAGTAGATCGAAGTTGGGCGAGGAGAATAGTGTAGAGAGGCACTTCGATTCGCTTCGTACAACCTCGCTTCGCCTCGGACGACTTCCGATCGCTGTCGGTTTTTTGCACTAGTCAAATCACTTCGCGAAGTACTCTGAAGTTACACGTAGCGTCTTACTACACTACTCGGCGTACGCCAGTTATGGATAATTTTTTTTTATACATAATGATTTATGTCAACGCATTAACGTCGTACTGTTCACACAAATAGGTACTTATAGCAGCTGTCTCTTGAACGTTATTCACGTTAAGGGTGCGGGAGACTGAGAAGACGACTGAGCTCTTCGCGAAGTAGCACGAGTGTGTAATCACGTAATTCGGACTGCATTCGACTTCGACGAGCACTTCGTCAAAGTTACTTCGCGAGTAGTGTAGAGGAGGCAATAGAAGTTTTTCCAAGAAACCGTGACCAACTCACCATTCTCGTTGGTGAGTATCTTAGCGTTGTGGTCGATGAGCGCGCACACGACGGCCGCGTGCCCGCACTCGGCCGCGAAGTGCAGCGCCGTCGCGCCGCACAGTGCGCGCTCGTCCACACGGGCCCCGCTATCCAACAGGAACTGTACCTGGAATACCGTTCACCAACTTACTATTATATTATGTTAACTTCCCGGTTGCTCTAGTGGTCGTAAACGCTACGCTTGTGACATTTTCTGTCGAGTAGTTCTCAGTAGCAGCTTCGAGTCTAAGTTGGCGGTGTTTCACTCCCATGCGCTTAAAAGCATGTAAAGCCGTTGGTTCTATGCCTTATCTATCACTAGTCGTGTCGGAATACCGTCCTTCGGACTATGATAGTGAAGGAATAGAGAGCGCACCTGTGTTTTCGCATACAATCGGGCCTATAATACTATCCTGCGCAGATAGCTAGTGTAATGTCGGAACTCGGAAGGTGCTGAATGAAGGAGACGTGTTGCTTGTACAAGAACTTTAATTATACTGTTTGTCTATTCTATACTTAATACTAATTTTATAAATGTATATTGTCGGAGGTAAAGGGGAGTCTACAGGGCACTACACCTCCCACCGACCAAAAAAAAAAAAAAAATTAATGATTACATTATTTTTTTTATAAACTTTAAAAAATATTTTCTTATATTTTGTTTTACATTTCAAGATACTTTTATTTAATTCACTTTTTTATTAACTTTATATATTTACTTTATTCTTCGGTAACTATTATTTATTTTTCATTTTACTGCATGGCATTAAATATCATTAATAATAATATTCATCAAATAATTGTGTCTTTTCTTTCACGTACACAGCTCGCGTATACATCATTAAGAACATGGCCAATGTATATAGTCCTTTCTATGATTCTCATTTCAGTTAATAAAATAGTTACGTACGAGTAACTTAACTTAGTCATAAAATTATATGTCATTTGAGAGAAGAATTATTTCCTTTACATATACATATTTTTAAGAATCGAGGCTCACTATTTAATCATATATCATAAATAAACTATTTAAATCCCTTAAATGCTTTCCTAAAAGAATAATTTCAATATATTATAAATCTTATAATTTACTGAGGTCATTCAATTTAACCAAAAATTTAATTATTTCATTTCATATTAAGATGAACAGAACAAAGAAGTCAATGTTAAGCCACGTAATCATTTTCAGTAACAATAACATAATCACATAACAAAAGACAGATCAAAATACAAATTGCGATCCCAGCTGCGTAAGCGATTTGTGACACTTTTGTTTTCAATTCCAAAGTACGTTTATGGGAAAGTTTGCGATTACATCGTATGATGTTATTATTACATACATATATGGATACGTGTAAAATAATAGATTTATTTTTATGATTCTTATTTATACATAATTTTAGATAGTTACTTTAATTTTACATCCATCAAAAAAAAATGCGTTATTTTTTTTTTTAATTACAATTTCTGGGAGTATGATATTTACTATATCGTTTACAGAAAATAATTGAATAATCACTGTAACACATATCAACTTTACACAACAAAACATTAAAAATTTAAACATTCAAAAGAACAATTTTTGTTTTTAAGTAGGTTATTACATAAATTTAAGGTCCTTGCTTTTATAAAAGAAAAGAAAAGCTAACACTTATAATTAATACTTAATAGTTTTAACTCTTTTCAAATTGAATCTTTCATTTAAATAAAATTTACTATAGGAAAAAAAAACATGTGATATAGAGATATAAGGAAATGTGTCAATGAGAAGGACACGTTTTGCTTACTCGGTTCAATAGTTTAGCTTGATTTATTTTTTATTTTTACATTTAGTTAACTATTAGGTATTTATTTAACTTCTTTATCAGATATTCTTTATTACAAAATTTTACCATAACTTTCAAAATGTTTTATTATGAATACACTTAAAATGTATCTGAAAATTCTGGCATTAAACACCTTTTAATTTACGTATTAAATATTTTACATTGCATTGTGTCATAATAAATTTACATACATTACCAAGTATTCATTATTATAAATGTTATTTATCATTAAAAGTCGTAAACGCATTAATACCTTTTTAAGATTACATGACTCCCTAGAAATGTGTTTATCTCATTTGAAATATAGATTTATGAAAACATAGGTTATTACACAAATATAAGTTTATATAGCAAAATATATGTTTGTATAGTATTTTTGGTATATAATAACATAATATTTGGTTTTATTGTCTATAAAAGAAAAAAAAATATTACATTATGAAACTTATATAAGTAATAGCGGATCGATACTGTTTCGACTTGATTTTAAAAACAATATATTAACCAAATTTAATTGAAAATTGTTCAACTTTTACATAAACAAAAAAACATAATACAAAATATAAAATTCAAGGTTAAATTATTATTTTAAGGAAAAAAATCTTGAAAATTCATATAAAATATACGCGAAATATATGCGCGAAAATTTTTTTTTTCATATTTAATTATTGATGTTTTTGTGTACATGCGGTAGTGTGTCTATAATTACAACATGTTTAATTTGTGAGTATTAAATAATTGTTAGTTGGCTGAAATGTGCGCCATGCACTGTACTTTATTGTATAAATATAATATTTATACTCTACTCTGATTACGTTCGTATCTCTAATTTATTTCAACATCTCCTTCCTATTTTTTTTTTATTATGTTTAATTTTGAACTTTGATTAATTGATTCTATATAATACGAAACAATCTTTTATAACTATTCATTATTTTTATAACGTAATTATTATTATTACGTGTATAATATGTACCTATTGCAATAATAATTTATATTATGATTTTATTTTATTTTAAGCCCTATACTCTAAATTATTGCGATTATGGATAAAGTATATTATTTGCTATATGATTATAACACGTGTATTATATTAGGTATTTATTTAATTATACATGCAGTTATGTGGATCGATCCCATAGGTACTACATGAGCAACTAGTAGGTAGCATTTTGGGTAGCATCCTAGTAAAGAAATGCAAATAACTACCTATCTCACTTTATAGATTTGGTCGGGGATCCCCTTAATACCTTGTATGTAACACATTTTATTTTTTGTCATGTCCTTTTATGATTTAAAATTTTCTCATTTCATTGTACTTAATTTCATACCAGCACGACTACTCCTATTTACTTTGTTTAAATTATTAGGCCTTAAGTTATACATATATGTATTTATATTTTCTTTTATAATTCTCGTATGTACATACTTTCTTTCCTTTCATAATAATTTATTCCTTTTGACCTTTTAGCTAGCTTAATTGTTTTCGTAATTCTATTCACTTATATATTTATTTATTTATTAGATATCGGGAACCGGAGTATTAATTCACTTCATTTATATTTTATTTCGTGATATTTATCACGCGGGTACTTTATAAATATGGGCCCCCCATTTACTTGGGTATTATTTTACATTTTCATAACATTCATTTCATTTTATTGGTACATTAACTTTTTTTTATCATACTATCTCAAGGTAGAACTGTACCTTGGGTTGTGCGCACAACCTTGAGGTCAACTTTTAAGTCATTTTAAAAGGACTCCAACAATTGTCACGGAGGAAAACTAAGTTCACACTATGATCCAATGAAGGATGTGACCCCTATGTACCATTATTAAGGGTAACAAATTTAAGACTTCTCTGGTCCCCAACAGTACTAATATGAGTAAACTCGTTCACATCTCATTTGTACTGAAGGTATTGTTCCCTAGTACCCGTTACTTCCGATTTTATCATCCAGTCATGGAAACATACCCTGCTCGAGGACTATATGCTTTACCAGTGATGGACGTTCCCGTATCTCTCCATCATTTATTTATCAAGGTCATTATAATATGTTTTATTTCTATTCTCTTAATAAACCATTTTGCTTCTTTATTTATACATGACCCGTGTTTTTTTTTTTTTTACATCTTAATATCTGTTTGGGTGTATCGGGTATTTTTATTCACTTGCATGCTCCACTTCCATATACTAATTTGCATTATTCTCGCTCATAATGAGTTCCATACCAAGAGTTTAAGCATTCATCAATATTTGGGTGATCAGTCCAATATTGAGGAAACTTAGCAACTCGATCATTCGTATTCACACTTTCGAACATTCTTTTCTTCCATTCCTCATATCTTTTAATTACATACATTCTAATTTTGTACAAATTGGATAACATTTTTGTCAGTCTATTTTTTTTTTTGCCGTTTTTAACTGTTAGGGAACATTATTATTAAACCTCTTAATTATTTTTATTTTATTTTACAGTATTTCATTATTTTCATATTTATGTTACACGTTATTATTATTTATATTTATTATTATCCACGTGTTTACAGGTCATTTCTTATTTATTTTTTGATATTATTATTTTCGTCTTTATTAGAATGTTGTTATGATTTATTTTTATGCACCTGTTCATATATCGCATGTTGCTCTCTATTGTTTTAAGATAAGCTCATTGCATAACATGTCATATTTATAGATATATCATTCATAAGAAAAGTTTAGCATACTTATTATATTCACTGTGTAAAGATTGTTACATTTGAATTTTGAATTGAAATTGAATTTAACTTATCTAGATTAGTTTGTGGTCGTTAAAAGAAAAAGTGTTATTTTACTATAAAATATGAAAAAATTAATTTATGATGAACTATAGTAAATTTAAGGACATAAAAATGTAATAAATCACATTATTTCATTAATTTTTGCACGACACAGTTATAAAATAATATAAGACAATAACTGAAAAAAGTGAATATAAAATCGTCTTGTACCTTAATAAAACATGCCACAGAAGTGCATACATAACTTAATTTATAATTATTGCTTTTTAATTATTTTTTCAGATACAGTAATAAAATATTAAAAAATCAATTGAATCGTAAATTATCTGATAATTACTTTCAATTTAAACATAGGTGTATTAAATATAGAATATTTAATACTTAAATTCATAAAATATAATAGCAAAAAGAACATAAAACAATCACAAATTGATAAATAAAGTTTTAGGTGGAGATAAAATCACAAAGGTGGGAAGTTACCTCTTAATATCTTCTTTGTACTTTCTGACTCAAATTTC